TCTGCGCACGACTTGATTGAATCGTTATTCGTTTGTTCCGCGATGAGGACGAAATTTCCATTTTGTTCTCCGTATAAATAAATAGATGATTGCAGAGTATCATACTTTTTTTCGGTTCGTTTCCAAGTCACGAGGGCCCCGGTTAGCTCGAGAAGAAACGCTCAGCGAATCCACGAAATAGCTTCCTTTTTATCCTCGGCTTTTTGTTCTCGCTTCGCTTCCGGTGAGACGCGAGCACCGTGACGGTTTTCCCGAGGAAAAACCGTGAAAGAAGCGATGTATGCAAAGCAGACGCCGACCTTGAAGGAAACCGAAGTTGGACGATAAATTTTCATGGGACGCCGCGCCGGCAGCGACTCGTCGCTGGGCCAAAGGGGACGAACCCGGTGTAACTTTCGTGCACGTTGATTATAATTGTGATTTATGCCGGTTTTCTGCCCTCCCCCATTCTATGTCCGACACGCCGCTACCTCCACCCATCTTTTTCACCTGTTTCATCCTCTTCTTCTCATTCTCCTTCGGCGAAGGCGCGGTCGCCCGATAGAACGCGCGTTAGGGTATTATTAGTCGTTCCATTGTTCGAAATTCGCGTGAATATATTCATAAAATTCCTATTTATCCTTGAGAAAACGCGGCCATTTCGCTAGACCGTAAATCGATTTCCAGCGAACGGAATTCGTGAGAAAAGCGCGGAAGCGAGAATAAGGCTGCGAATTCCTGCCGGGTTTTAAGGGAACTCCGTCTAGAAATGCTTCTCGACGATCCCCGTAAATCTAGACGAGAGTAGGTACGTACTCGCACGCTGTGATGCATTTCTTCCGCGCGATATACCGCGCCGTATCCACCTTTAAATCATCCCGATAAGACGACGCAACGATGCGAGGACCTATCCTCGCGAGAATTGGATACGCTTCAACCCTGTCGCGCGAGCCTCGCTGCTTTCATCTCGCGAATCAGCTTCCGCTCGATGTATCGATGCCCGAATTAACTTCCGACGAGACTCGAAAACTCCGCGCGCGACGCGATGGCCGAGGGATCCAACTTTGTTAATTCCCGTATTCGATATGGGGATCGGAAAATTACGCGGGAGCAGAAACCGGGCGCGATTAGATTCGGAAAGTTCCGAGGAATAAATTACGCGTTAATACTGTCTCCGTAGAGCATTGATGACTACTTCGATTAAACGCCGGCGTAACGAGTTTAACGATAGTCGACAATAGGGAAAAGTTGCGCAATTTGCGAAACTACGCTGCCGGTGGTCGAACGATGTTAATGAATTTTAAGTGGCACCGATCGAACCAGCTAATCCTTATTAATTTACAATTCAACTTGAAAGTTCTTCTTCTATTTCCCATCACAGGCGTCAAATTCTATTTCATACACCGAATTGGGTTCTAATTGTCATCCATTGTTAGTTCTCGAAATTCATACATAATGACAACCGTACCCTCGATGATCTCGCATCCCCTCGAAAACACAGTTCCAAGTTCGTAGTGATTCTTTCGTGTCAGTGGGTCGCGCTCCCCCAACCGCGTGACGAACGGCTTTCTTCATGTTTATTTAATCAAGATTCGACGTCGAATGTCACAGTGTTCTTCCTGTCTCCCCCCCCTCCCCTCTTCTCTTGATTTCCCTCCGCAGAATTAGGGTGACAAAGACGAGTCTTCGTTCTCAAGAACCAGTGCCGTAAAAAACGGGCTACTAAAGCCGTCAACAGATCGTTAAAACGATGCTACCAATAAAATCTTGACAGTCCTCTCTATCGAAAAACCCATAAAAACGTAAAAAAAAAGAAAGAAGGCTGTTATCTTTACATCCAACGAACTCAAATTTCCAAAGCTGTAAACTTAATGTATCGAGAAGCAGTATGAGAGAACGACTGGAATAGATCTCTCTTATTTTGCCCTATTGCTGTCAAGTCTGTTCTATTTTCATTAAAGATCGGAACCTGTTCGCTCGTTAACGAACGTTTCAGTCGACAAATCGTATGACATAAAGAAGAGATTTCTCCGAGCAACCGTACGGTCCTGGGATTCATCCGGCGAACGAACGTCATCCCCTCGGAGCTGTCTGTCACGGCAGACTTCGGGGATACCAGAGAACGAGAACACACACGCGTGCAGAGAGAAGGGAAAGTCGAAGAGGTACCGAACGATACGAACGAAGATGGAACGAGAATCGAGGGATGGGTGGCGAGTATTGTCCGGAAGAACTAGGGATAGCGCCGAACGACGGATTCGTATATACCGGGAGAGAAGCCGAGGTTGAGCTGATAATCCCGAGGAAGAAAGGCTTAGCGGCTAAGTTGTCGGGCTTATCTGCCGCTGCTTTTTGCTACGACGCGAGATGCGCGTTGTAAGACGAATAACTTTTACTATTTCGCGTCGAATAAAGAACGTGTCGAATTCGAATCGATTCGCACGAGGGGAAAACTGTATTTTCGTTGATTACAATAAACGAATAGATAGTAAAAAGAATTGTTCCTTTCTACGCCATCATCAAAGAAACTTTCCTCGATAAACTCCTAGCTAAAAGCAGTTATCCTCCCTTTTCCTCGGCATACATATATTCCGAATGATTCCCCTACGGTCGTCCAATACAATCGGGATAATAAGCGTCCGCTTTATCACGAAAGCTACCAACTTCTTCCAGTGATAATAATCCAAAGGCAAGTGTCGTATTAGACATAAAAGGAGTTTTTAGTCTGCGAGAGACAATCTACAATAAATTTTGGAAGCACGCGTCAATATTCGGTTTCGTGCGAAGTCTCCCTCGACCCTCGAGAGACGAGGGCGGACTGCATAAATTCGGTGGCTGCAATTGGCGGGCGAATACTTTTACAATTCAAATTATGGAAATCCCGCGGGTGTACGTACAATAGCAGCGGACGTCGTTCCTGCCGGCGCGTGTACATCGAGCATCAGCGGATTTATTTCTCGGAAATCAAGCCCTCAACCCCTACGCTTCCACTTTTTCGCGTCCCGCTCACCTATGCTCGCTGCGCGTTCTCCTCTCACCCGTCACCCTCCTTTTCGCGTATGAAAAAAAAGAAATGTCATCCCCTCGAAAACCGCGCGACGCCAGTGGTGAAGCACGATAAAGGGATATCGCGATCTCGTCGATTCTAATTCTATAATTCCGCGCTTAAGCCAACCGCCCCGGGGCCTGCACGGTCAGCCGGCTATGCTTTTATCTAAATCTGTGTCACGCGCCACGCTTCATCCCCTTTAACGCTCGTCGCAGCATCCGTGACCGTGGTTGAAAAAACAACGCAGTTGCAACACCTATGTACTCTATCGAATTTTAATTTAGATTCAATGTATACATATAAAAATCTACTGTACATAGGTGCATTCCAACGCAGGCGTTTCAATGAAGAACTAAATTCCAGTATTTTTTTTTAATTTCCCTCGACGCTAACGTAATCTCGGATATTCGATGAGAATGAAATTTCGAAATTTTTTAGACTGTACGAATTAAAAATAAATCCTCGAGGCATTGTCCGTCGTACGGATAATCGTATCAACCAGCGGATTCCAAAAATTGAATCCTCGCATGGGGTAGAAAATGACACTCGGCGGTCAGCTAATTTCGCACGAAAAATCTACCATTTCGGGGTCTATCCCCGGTTGCCAGGACACGCTTTTACACTAATTCGTAGTTGGGCCGCGTAGCCACTTTAAAAGCATCGGCCAAAATCAATAAAGCTTCCACTGGATAGCCTTTTAATCAAGCCAGATACCATAATCGCGGCCTGTGAGCAACCCTCTCCTACCCATTTTTTTTTACGCCCACTTCCTGAGCGTTCAGCTACCTGAGCTCCATATCGCATTTTCCTTTTGCGCCGACCGTCTATTTAAAATTGAAATTTATGTGATCAAAATCCGCAGCCGTGAAATCTATACAAAGAATATTTTGCAGCGTCTCTAATTTAAAATCTATCTAAATGGGTGCCACGCCTCGTAAACGATTGGGAAACAATAGTTTAATTGGCTGTAGGTCCGAGGGGGCATTAAAGGAGTAACGGACGAGAAAAAAAGCTGAACAAGCGCGTGCAAGGACGAGAGGATCGTAAAACACTGACGAAGCGTGTTTCGATCCACGTAATGAGCCGGTGTCCAGCGAGCAGAACGAGTTAATTAATCCCCCAGAGATCGGCCACGCTCTGTATGCATCGCTCGATAATTACTCGAACAAGTGCGCTCGCACTAGCACTCGTCAAGTTCCTAATACTATGCCGAAGTGCAATTTACTGGACGCGACTCGATGCCTTTGGAATCATAGAACGGAATTCGATAATAAAAAGTCGAGTAATGTAGTTCACCGCGTGACAGTATCTGAGAACTGCTAATGGTGAAAGATTGATAAAGAGGAAACAAGGTTCAAAACCCGAACGCGTTTCGCTTAAAAAACCCAGCGTCGATTCGTTTAACGAACTTCGCTAAGGAATTAATTAACGAGTTACTCTGCAATTGCAGAATACCTCGCACATCCAGGTGCATCAGTTAATGAAGATCCCCTTACTAATACCGGTTCGAATAACCGTAGAACCATAAAATCAAGCCCGTTTAATCGAACTCCCATACCATCGAAATCGACCGTACGATTAAAGCAAATACTCTCGAACAGACGAAACAGTGGGGAACCTTATTATCCCGAGCTACGAATCTACGGGAAAAAGGGGCTACAATCTCGACAAAAAGTGTTAGCGTTACGCCCGATGGCGTCGGAAAATTGCTTCCGTCTCAAAGGTGTCCCCGACAAACGATTCACGCCGAGAATTTCAACGTCTTGAAAAGAGATAACTTGTCCCTTTTCCTCCCACGCCTAACCGAAATAACTACAGCCAATCATCTCCACGCGTAAAACAAAAGCTTCTGCTAAGAATACACCCTTTCATTCAGGTCGAAATAGCCGAACAAGTCTCTGGTTAACGTGGAAGGGTAGTTAAACGCTAATTATAACTACCTAATACTCGAACTGAACGGATATAACTTACCCACTCGCTTCGCAAGCGTGTCTTCTTGTCATTCTTGATTAGCGCGAGACGGTTAGTAAACTGCTGTTCTATCCACTTGCAAGAGTAATTATCCTGAAAACAGATACGCACCCTAATCCTAGAACCCTTCGTCCTGCGCGTGCCACGCTGCTTGATTCGGGCCCAAACGCGTGCACATTAACGGCAATGTGCGCCGAGTGCGTGCGACGTGATTGATTTCCTTTGTATACACGTAGGATTCGAATCAGACCAGCGCACGAACGGAGAAAGAAAAACGTAAGGCAGTACGACACGCAGCGAAATTAAAGAAACCTGGGGACTCGCTAATTTGAGACCCGCGGATTAATTGCAATTAGTAACAAAACAAGTGTTGTCGCAATGAATAAGAGAACGAAATTTAATATTTAAACAAATCTATACTTACGGAGGCTTTACAGAAGACAGTTGTGTCGGCAATTGATAATAGACCGATTGCTAGTCGCTTACTGACTAAACTTCGAAGTCGATAAGCTAACTTCACAACGTTATCGAAAGCTACGAATGTCGTTCGAGGTTGATCCCTTGAACAGGCACTATAGTTGACGCGGAATATTAACGTTTCTTCATGGAGCAATAGCAGAGAGAAGAATCAGTCGATCTTTTACTGGGAGTTTTCCAGTTTCTCTGCACAAGGCCTTCGAAATTAATTTGGAGTTGAATTGGCCCGTCGTTCCTTCTCCTCGATAGTCTATGCTGCATGATGAAACTCTTTCCAGAGTTGGCCTCTTGGCGCAGCACCTGTACGGGAATCACGAAATCCCGGGTGTGAGCACTGTCATTTCCTGTCCATTCCTGTCTGATGTGGCTAGGTTCAGAGCCATCGAGAACCCAATTGTTGATGTATAATGTTTGTTTGTGTGGGAAACTTTATGGCGCCAATTATATGTTACTTTACTACTTGAGAGTTTCGTCGGAATAATTTAGAAAATGCCGGCTTTTCTGAAACACATCGAAGTAGAGAACTTTAAGTCGTACAAGGGGAAGCTTATTATAGGTCCTTTAAAATCGTTCACGGCTGTCGTTGGACCAAATGGATCTGGTAGGTTATACTCTCTTTCGATGTGCAACCAATACGAACGATTATTTAATGTTTACCCTGTGTTCCATTCACTGTTTTCAATGCAGGTAAGTCAAATTTTATGGATGCGATCAGTTTCGTTATGGGAGAGAAAACAAGCAGCTTACGTGTCAAGAGATTCAGTGAGTTGATACACGGAGCTTCGATTGGAATGCCAGTTGCTCGGAGGTAGTTGTCAATTTAAAATGCTGTACATTTTATACTCGATTAAGGAATTCATAATGATAAGATGTAACACATTCTTCTCACTTTGAATTACAGTGCTTCAGTAACTGCTGTATTCGCTCTAGAAGATGGCACCGAGAAAAGTTTTATGCGTTCTGTACAAGGATCTTCCTCAGAACACAGAATAAATAGTAATATAGTTACTAGCCAAGTGTATCTCAATGAATTAGAACAACTTGGCATTAATGTGAAGGCAAAGAATTTTTTGGTATTTCAAGGAGCTGTTGAATCGATAGCTATGAAAAATCCAAAAGAGCGAACTGCACTTTTCGAAGAGATCAGCAATTCTGGAGCATTAAAAGCAGAATACGAAAGACTGAGAACAGAAATGTTAAAAGCAGAAGAAGAAACTCAGTTCTCGTATCAGAAAAAGAAAGGCATCGCTGCGGAGAGGAAAGAAGCGAAACTGGAGAAAGAGGAAGCTGAGAAGTATCAACGCCTGAAAGAAGAATACGTTGAAAAGCAAGTAGAGCTGCAACTGTTTCGTCTGTTTCATAATGAAAAAAGTACAGAGAATTTGGAAGTTCAACAAACGAAGAAGCAACACGAGATAGAAAAGATCGAGAAAAAGAAGGAAAAGGCTGAGGAAGTGTTAAAAGAAAAGAAGAAGGATGCCGGAAAATTGGGGAGAGACTTAGCTAAAATCGAACAGGACATTAGGGAAGTAGAGGTTGAGATAACAAAGAAGAGACCGACGTTTATCAAAGCAAAGGAACGTGTAGCACACATGCAGAAAAAGGTTGAATCTGCTAAAAAATCTTTGGCCCAGGCACGTATCGCGGACGAAGCTCATAAAAAAGATATACACGAACTTCAGGAAGAATTGCAGCAAGTAGAAGAAGCTAAAGCGGCGTACGAAACTAGTATTGCGGGACAATCGCAGTCGCAAGGTAGAGATGTACAGCTGGAAGACGAACAAGTCAGAGAATATAATCGGTTGAAAGAGGAAGCAGGCAAACAGTCGGCGAGGTATTTACAACTTCTCGACTCCGTCAATCGGGAGCAGAAGTCGGATCAGGATAGGCTCGATAACGAGGGAAGAAAGAAAACGGAAATAGAAAATAAGCACAAACAAAAAGGTCACATGCGAGATGAGGCTCTTAAAAGAGTCGAAAAGTTAGAGGAGCATATAAAAACTTCGGAAGCCGCCTTGGAAGATCAAAAAAAGTTGCGCGCCGATTTACAAGCCGATGTTGGTACGTCGAAAGACAAAATACAAAATCTACAGCGAGAGTTGGAAAGTATTTCCGAACAATTGGGCGACGCGAAAGTTGATAAACACGAAGTATCGCGAACTAAAAAGAAAACGGAAATTGTAGAAAATTTTAAACGTCTTTTTCCCGGAGTCTACGATCGTATGTACAATATGTGCGAACCCATTCATAAAAGGTATAACGTTGCTATCACAAAAGTTCTCGGCAAGTACATGGAAGCTATCGTCGTTGACACTGAGAAAACGGCTAGGCAATGTATTCAGTATCTAAAAGAACAGTACCTCGAACCGGAAACATTTCTTCCTCTCGATTATATTCAAGCGAAACCCCTCAAAGAGAGACTAAGGAATATACAAGAACCGAAGAATGTGAAATTATTATACGACGTGTTGCATTTTTCTCCCAAAGATATCGACAGGGCTGTATTATTCGCAACGAATAATGCGCTCGTATGCGAAACTCCCGAGGATGCAAATAAAGTAGCGTACGAGATGGACAAGAAAGCTAGGTACGATTGCGTGGCACTGGATGGTACGTTTTATCAGAAAGCAGGAATTATCTCGGGTGGTAGTTTGGATCTCGCGAAAAAAGCAAAGAGGTGGGACGAAAAACAAATGTCTCAGTTGAAGGCACAAAAAGAGAAACTGACCGAGGAGTTGCGTGAATCTTTGAAGAAATCGCGAAAAGAATCAGAATTAAATACGGTCGAGTCTCAGATACGCGGATTGGAGACACGTTTGAAGTATAATAAAAGTGATTTAACTGCCACGCAGAAGCAAATCGCGGAGCTGGACGCAGAGTTGGAAGCTCTGCAAAATGAATTAGATAAGTTTGGTCCAACGATAGCCGCGATTGAGAAGACTATGGCCGAGAGAGATCAGCAGATACAGAACATAAAAGAAAACATGAACAACGTCGAGGACGATGTGTTCGCTAGCTTTTGCGAACAGATCGGCGTGTCGAACATTCGACAATACGAAGAAAGGGAGTTGCGATCGCAGCAGGAAAGAGCGAAGAAGAGAATGGAATTTGAAAATCAATGCAATCGTATTTTTAATCAGTTAGATTTTGAGAGACAACGCGATACGGAGAGTAACGTGTTGCGGTGGGAACGGGCGGTTCAGGATGCCGAAGATAAGCTCGAATCTGCACGCCAAACCGAATCGAATCAAAAGGCGGAAATCGATCACGACGAAACTCAGATGGAGCAGTTGAAATCGTCGCGAAACGCGAAGAAGATGGAAGTCGATCAGAAAGAGGAAGAGATAGGCAAAGCCAGGCGCGAAGTTGGTGCGATAGCGAAAGACATACAAGCTGCTCAAAAGCAGCTGAATGCTATTGAGACCAAGATTGAACAGAAAAAAGCTGAACGTCATGCTATTCTAATGCACTGCAAGATGGAAGATATCGCGATCCCAATGCTCCATGGGAATATGGAAGATATAGCTAGTGAAACTAACACGACCAATGGTTCGGAATCTACCATTATGGACTCGTCTTTAAGTACGCAGCAACAGTACGAACGTGAGAAACGAATAACTATAGATTACGCACTTCTTCCTGAAAATTTGAAAGATATCGAAGAAGAGGATACTAAGAAAACTACTGAGAAACTTACAAGAACGATCAACGATTTACAGAATACTATTCAACGTATTCAAGCACCTAACATGAAGGCAATTCAAAAATTATATCTTGCTAAAGAAAAATTGCAAGAGACCAACGAGGAGTTTGAACAGTCTCGTAAAAAAGCGAAAAAGGCGAAAACACAATTCGAAAGGATCAAAAAAGAAAGGCACGACAGATTTATGGCATGTTTCGAACATGTCGCCAATGAAATTGACCCAATTTATAAAAGCTTGGCAAAGAACCAATCTGCTCAAGCATTCCTTGGACCAGAGAATCCTGAGGAACCTTATTTGGATGGTATTAATTATAATTGCGTAGCACCAGGAAAACGATTCCAACCAATGTCTAATTTATCTGGTGGAGAGAAGACTGTTGCCGCGTTAGCGTTGTTGTTTGCGATCCACAGTTTTCAGCCTGCACCGTTCTTCGTATTGGACGAGATCGATGCTGCGTTGGACAATACAAACATAGGAAAAGTTGCTAGTTACATACGCGACAAAACGAGCTCCTTGCAAACCATCGTCATATCCCTCAAAGAAGAATTTTATTCTCATGCTGACGCGCTAATTGGCATTTGCCCAGATGTAAGTACAATTACAAATAATGGATAATAAGAATGTTTACTCCCTTCTCGTATAATACTATTTTGATTTTTGTTCAATTACAGGTTGGCGAATGCCTGGAAAGTAAAGTATTAACTCTCGATTTAACTACACACCCTACTCATTAATTGAGAAGAAAATCTTTCAATTTAATGTGTATAATTTCTATTATACTTCTGAGTTTTACGATTTACTGTACGTACGATAACATAAATTGTCAACATTTCGACTATCCTACTTTTTACTTATACTTACATTTTCGTTCTATTACCTAGATTATACATTATTTAATTTACTTGATTTAACTAGGGCAGTGTACAAGTTGCATGATAATAAATTATTCATTTAGAGAATCGTCCAATTGTAGTTTTTTATGTTAACAAATGTTCATAGCTACAATTTTTATATAATATAAGTTTGTAAACATATTCTTGCCCAGAATAAAGATTTTACTATAATATTATGCGCCACGTGTTAATTTTCAAATGTTTATCCTTAGTGCAGAAATATATCCAATTCGCATTATGTATAGTAGAAAAACCTTTCGTCGGAGTTTTCATCGATGTAAGTCGTATAATTTTTAATTATTTTTGTTTATTTTCACTTACGCTTCTTTTTCTATTTCAAGGTTGCCAAAGAAGAACCAGAAAGTTTACCGTTTAATACTTCAAAGAATGTACGATATTTCATCGAAAACGATCTTCATAAGTCATATTGATTTGAATAAATAATCGATAATTGTAGTTTACTATTTTACGTCAAAATTAAGTTACTCAGCAGTTTTTATTTCTGTTGACCTCATTACATTCCATAGAGGGAACACTACATACTACACTGCATACTACATGTGTACTCTAATCAAAAGAGCAGTGACGATGACACCGATGCAGCAAACATTCCAAGATCTGGAGTTCCCATTAAAATACATTTGATGTATGCGTTTCTACGCGAGAGATAACTACTAACGGCGGGTAAAGAAAAAAAAGATTTTTATGAAAAAGAGATGATATGTATTACATTATAACGATAATTATTTTGTTAATTTATTTATTTCATTTATTGGGGATTTTAATTGCAGTATGCAATAAATATTTGTTAAGTTATGAACTGTGTACTTTTCTTGATATTTTCCCTAAAGGTATTTCATTTCGTTATGTAAAAATAACGCGAGAAATGAAAAAATACGTGTCCATGTCCAGCTATTAGATCCTGGTCCAATTGTACTACTAGAAACAGTGGCAACTCAGATTTATAGTCGGACACAACAATATAGGAACTTAGGTCAATGCAGTCTATTACGGTTAACGCTTTGTAAAGTAAGTCGCGCTCTGGGAATGCGGCCAAAATAATGATTGTCGTCTAATAAACTTATTAAGAAGTCACGCGTATCCATATATCGACAACTATGTTCTAACTGCGACCGATGAAAATCAGAAACACAGCGAAAACGAATGACTTAATCAAAGTTTCTTTCTTGGAACAATTTTGCTTTTAATCGGTCGAACCAGATCGAAGATAAAATCGAAAGCGTAATCTAACGGCAGAGAATAAGTGGCATGCGTACTCGATCACTATAATAAAAGACGCATGCAGTTTCTTGGTAAAGGGTGACGACCTCTTCATTTCGCAAAATAGATCTAGGATAAAATAGGAGCGAAGCGAAATAAGATAATGTTCAAGCTTCCATTCTGTTATTATTTACAAGAATTAAGAAACCATCTATTCTTCTCAAAGTTCCTAATAAATATAAAGATTTCTTAATTTAAATTTGCACAATTTTAATTTCTCATCCGAACATTTATAATCTAACAAATATTGCCTAGTCCCTTTAACACGTAAGTATCTACACCTAGAAAAAATAGAAAAATGATAAACGAGAAATCCAAGTGGATAGTCGCGGATAAAAAGGGATCAAAAGAGAAGGGATGAGATCGAAGCAAGACAGTGGGAGGATCGCATGTAGATCGTAAAACGGAGGATGATGACCTCCCTTGAGTTACAAGACATCTGCTAAATAGATGACACGCCAGTTGTCGCAAGTCTAGTTGTCCTCAGCTTCGGACGAAGGCGAGTTGCCTCTAGGATCACGTTACTGTCTATAATAGTAACTGGCGATGGGGCCGAAGGCCCTTCAGCTGGCCGCAACGTTTGTCGTCGTCGTTTTTCTTTTGATCAGGGTTGAATCCGTACGCACGAAGTTTAGGAAACAGCGATCAAAGCCGCTCCAAGCTCAACAACCTGTGAACGCTGATTACGATTACGAGTATTACGACTACGACGATTACGAGGATAGGAATGGTAAGTAGAATTTTGCTAAAACTCTACGACTGTAATTTAGATAAATGGTGCTAAAAAGCTGGTGGATAACGCGCAACCCCGGAGATACATTTCCTCTACGGGATCCTCAATTTCTGCATCCTTTAATCAAAAATTGATTTAATTTTCACATATCCGCGTTCACATCTTACATAAGAATCAGACTACATAGATCTTATTTTACAGTCACCTTTATTAATAAATATACGGTGTCATTAAAAAAGGAATTTCTTCCTTAAATCTTAATAATTTGCTTTATATTAATAACATCTCATGTCGTTTTAAGTATTTTTTCTTAAGAAAAAGAAAAAATACTAAGGAAATAATTAAAATTAAAAATCAAATCCTCTAATAATAACTATAAGACCAAATAATTTGAAGGACTTATTGCATTTCATCGTACATAATCCATGTTTTACTACCGGAAAACATTGAGATGCCGAGATGCGTACCACTTGATATAGTAAAAATGTTACTTGCTAATTTTTATCAATCAACGCAATTGATTAATTGCATTACGCAAAGCGTTAAAGGAGCATCCGATCTTCGAAGCTTCCGGTGTTACTAATGCAGCTATTAATGCTTCCTCCAAGTATAACTAACTACTGAGATCTCTCGATACTCAATAAATTAATTTAATATCGACGCTATGATAAAAATTCTTACGGTATTAATTATACTAATATTATAGTTATAAAAAGATAATTTCAAAATAATACTTGGATGTTTAGACACTGCTACCACAACTCCACCGCCGCCTATTCTATCTGGTATCAACACTCCGAGTACGTTTACGATTATTTTGATTAAGAAAATTTAAATACAATTACAAATTTATTATTATTAATTACAACGAAAAGCAACACGATAGAAATCTGATATTTGTATTACGTAAAGACAGGGGTGGCTTACTCACAGATGGACTGCCAAACCTCTACAGGCCAACATTGCCTACAGATCCACCGACATCGACAACAATTGATTCTTACAATCAAGGTATTTAAAAATTATGAAGATTCAATATGAATAAGCGAAAATTGAAATCATTTGCGAACGTCGATTAATTTTCGATTGTCTCATTGATTCATGTGTCGTCGACTACATGTCTCATCAATATCTTCTCTCTATCACTATTTACATTTGTTCGTAAGTAACAATGAAAATTGATTGATAGATTGAATAACTATTGAATGACTTATATGGAACAACAGTTTACGCGGTGACTCACATCGTGCTTTCGTTTCCTTACAATCTGTTTACCCTCGATTACATACACATTTCAATAGATAACAGAAATTGTTTCCTCTTTTATAATTATGTTTTGTAACTATGAATATCGTAGGATCGTTAGATGAATTGCATACAACAGTGGAACGTGGTGCAGTAAGTAGCAACAATAAAACTCGAACATAAATGATAAATAAATACATATATTAAAAAAAATTGATTTCTTGCACTGTTAGCCACCGACCGAGATCGTGCCTGGAGAGAGCAATGTGATAAATTCTGTAGCTGTTCCTGGACCGAGAGTAAGCACTAGAATTTGATTATTTTAACTGTAATCAATAGAATACTAGATGCGCATGCATTGTAATGTCAAAAGGGAAACGAAAAAAATTATAATTTGTATATATATTATATATATTAGGGAGATCCTGGTCGACCCGGAGACGCAGGTCGTCCAGGTGACGCAGGCTTTCCAGGACAGCCAGGAACTCCAGGAGTGCCGGGACTTCCAGGGCCACCAGGACCCGTTCCCGACGTATCATTGTATTACCAACAATTAGCTTTGTCTCAAGCAAATCAAGATAAGGGTCCAACAGGAGCCGCAGCACCTCTCTATGGTCCGGAAACTTATCTTCAGGCACAAGTAGGTCCCGCAGGTCCACGTGGTCCACCAGGTAACTTTTTCTAATTCCGCGATTATTTTGATTCTTATTAAAATTCTTATAAAAAATGAAATGTATATACAGAATTTCTACTGTAGTTTCTGCAGATTCAATTTTCTTATATGACATCTGCAATAGGTCCACCAGGTTTGCCTGGACCACAAGGGTTTCAAGGAGTGCGAGGAGAACCTGGGGAGCCTGGGACACCAGGCCTTCCAGGTGCACCAGGCCCACGCGGATTACCCGGTTTAGCCGGAAAAGATGTACGCGCTTCACACAGTTTTTGTTATTTCGTTATGAAAATGCGATTTTATAATGAATTAGGGTAGCACCGGTGACGATGGAGAACCAGGTCCACCAGGGTCGGCCGGTCCAGTTGGACCAAGGGGCCTTCCAGGAATGCCCGGCCTCCCGGGAGTAAAAGGACATCGTGGTTTCCCAGGATTAGATGGCGCGAAAGGAGAACAAGGCACACCAGGTGAAAAGGGATCTATGGGTGGACCCGGACCGATGGGACTCGTGGGTTCAATAGTAAGTTTGTTCGACGCGTAAATATTTAAAAAAGTATATTTTTATAATTTATGATTTTAATTCTTATTAATAAATTAATAATTAACTACACAGGGCCCGGCAGGTCCTCGCGGTGAGAGAGGTAGAGAAGGTCCGTCTGGGCCTCCAGGAATAAGAGGAGTGGACGGAATTCCTGGTCCTCCTGGACAGCCCGTACGTATGATAAAAACTATGACCATGAGCAAAATGCAAATGTATATCTTTTACAGGGTGCACTGGGTAAGCCAGGATCTCCTGGTTTTCCCGGTAGTCCAGGTGCGAAAGGAGACGAAGGAGCTCAAGGAGTAAAAGGAAGTCAAGGCATACAAGGCCCGCGAGGTATCTCTATACAAATATAGTATTCATGTTATTTAATATTTCAAGTGTCTTCAACATTTTCAACGTACAGGTGAAACTGGACGCCCCGGACAACCTGGTGAGTCAGGACCCCAGGGACCTCAAGGAAAAGACGGAACACCAGGAGAGAAAGGAAGCACTGGAGCACCTGGTTTGGTAGGTGCTCCAGGTTTTCCAGGTGCTCGTGGACAACCTGGAATATCTGGTAATCCTGGAACTCCAGGTGCAAAGGGCATGCCTGTAAGTATTGCTTGAAATTTTACAGAAGTTTCATAAAATGCATCGTATAAATGCAAAAATATCGATTACTAATTCAAATTTAGGGATTTCCTGGAGAAAGAGGGTTCAAGGGAGATAGCGGGGTCAAGGGTGATTCAGGAACTCCAGGACCTCGCGGTTTACCTGGACCTCCCGGTAACGAGGGTAAACGAGGAAAACGAGGCATGCGCGGTCCTAGCGGTGTACCCGGACCTCCCGGAGAACGTGGAACACCGGGTGCACCAGGTCTCCCAGGACCGGATGGACCCATGGGTCCTAAAGGTATGTTGCAGTTATTCGTAATCGATATAAATTTGTTTTGCCATGAAAAAATATTTAATAGGTCAGCCAGGAGACCGTGGACCTACCGGTCCGATTGGCCCGAAAGGAGCTACAGGAGATCCCGGACGTCCAGGACCACCCGGGTTACAGGTATTTCATGAATAGAGATAGAATTATTTAATATCATAATTTTATGTTTACGAAATATTGTATTTATTTTAAATGAAAGGGGACACGAGGATTGATGGGCCGAACCGGCGCCCCCGGGAAACCAGGTAATCCGGGCGAGCGGGGTATTCAAGGTGCCGATGGAAAACCTGGTGAACAGGGTCCACCCGGAATACAAGGCTTACCTGGTCCATTAGGTCTTACAGGAGAAAAAGGATATCCGGTATTGATTTTCTCTATCGATTAGGAAAATATCTTTCCACTGAAAGTGAAAATTTGATTTGTTTAAAGGGTGAGCCAGGTAAAGCGGGCGAACCGGGAAGTCCTGGTCCGCCTGGTCCAAGGGGCGACACAGGAAAAGAAGGAGCACCTGGATTACAAGGTTCACCAGGACCATCGGGAGCTGATGGCGAACGAGGACCTTCCGGCCCTCCCGGGCCTAGAGGTTTTCAGGTATGAGTACATTAAAAAAATTTCGAAGTTACTCTACTTGGGAAATCATTTCAAATGGATACGCGAGAAAACTGTAATTTCATTACATAATTTGATGTAATTGTAGGGTTTTCCAGGTGCAACTGGTAACCCAGGAACTCCGGGAAAAGATGGAGAAGCTGGTGTTCAGGGACCACCTGGTCCACCTGGTACGCCCGGAAATAGAGGTGAACGGGGATTTCCTGGCGAGAGAGGTGCACCAGGTCCATTGGGATTAACGGGGCCAAGAGGAGAACCAGGGACGCAAGGTTTAGATGGTCCACCGGTAAATTTGTATTCGAATCGACTATTTTTACGTTGATTAAACATTATATCATTTAAATAAGTATATTAATGTAACAATCTTAGGGATTGCCTGGACCTAAAGGGGACAGGGGAACACAAGGACCATCAGGTTTAATGGGACAACCAGGTTTGCGAGGACCGCCCGGAGAAACAGGACCAAAAGGGGACAGAGGACCGTCTGGACCAATTGGGCCAGAAGGCCCTTCGGGTACATCGATGAAATAAATGCATCGACTTAGATTCATATATAACATTGAAATGTTTCTATAGGACGAATCGGGGAGCGTGGCCCGCAGGGTCAAATCGGTCCACCAGGACCACCAGGCGAACCAGCAGAACGTGGGGATCCCGGTTCGCCTGGACCTCCAGGAGAAGTTGGCGCTTCTGGAAATCCCGGAGAGAGAGGACCTCAAGGATTGCAAGGTTTACAAGGATTTCCAGGGCCACAGGGACTCATCGGTTTACCAGGATTAAAAGGTGACCGCGGTTATCCCGGTTTAAAAGGAGATCAAGGAAATCATGGTACACCCGGTAAGGAATAACTAATGTATGTTTAAAAATATTACAATGAAATTGCAGTGAATACAATTTTGCAATTAATTTTAAATGTAGGCATCCCTGGCGAACCCGGGGCACAAGGCTTAATTGGATTAACGGGGGCTAAAGGAATGAGAGGCGAACCAGGCGCCAGAGGAGAATCAGGAATCGCAGGACCACCTGGAATACCGGGTCCAATCGGAGCAACGGTACGTTTCATTAATTATAGCTTATCCATATTATTTTATTACATTTGCAGGGCCCGTCAGGCTCGATAGGACCAGCAGGACCTCCTGGTTTACCAGGCATCAAGGGTAACGTTGGAGAAGCAGGCCGAACAGGAAGTCCCGGTCCAGCCGGAATTCCAGGTTTACCTGGCGCGGATGGTAGCAAGGGCGAGAGCGGCTCACAGGGACCACCGGGAATACCTGGACCTCAGGGTCCGCAAGGTCCTATTGGAGAGAGAGGTTTGCCTGGTTTACCAGGACCATCGGGACCGATGGGCGCCAGAGGATTGCGAGGGGCACCGGTAAGTCTATACTCTATTATACGTAACATTCATTATTTTTGTGACATAAACAGTAGACCTGTTAGAGGATGCTTGTTTGTATAATACAGTATTGCTTTCTGTGACGTGGTAGGGAGAATCTGGCGTACCCGGGAAACCAGGGACGGAAGGTCCACCCGGGTTAACCGGCCTGATCGGACCTATTGGACCACCTGGAGCTCCAGGAGAAACTGGACCGGAGGGTCCTATCGGTAAACCTGGGCCACCTGGAATAGGTGGTCGCCCTGGAGATAAAGGACCACCGGGATCAGTAGGACAAACGGGGTCACCTGGTTCTCCGGGTTTACCGGTAAGATTCGAATATCTTTGAATAATGTCGAACAAAGAATTATGCAATTATGACTTTGACAATTAGGGATCGCCTGGGCAAGCAGGTCTTCCGGGACCGTCTGGAGAAAGAGGACCAAAGGGAGAAGCAGGGCCGCAAGGTGTTGAAGGACAACAAGTCAGCATTATTTTTATAATCGTTAAAATCAAGAATGCAATAAATGACTAAAGTAGTATTGTTATTCTTATGCTTAGGGAGCTCGGGGGAAACCGGGACCCATAGGACTCGAAGGTCCAAAAGGCGAACGCGGGGAAGAGGGTCCGAAAGGTGCGAAGGGTCATAGAGGTTTTACGGGTTTGCAAGGACTTCCTGGACCCATTGGTCCAGCGGGCGAGAAAGGAATACCTGGTCTTCCTGGATTACCAGGGAAAGATGGAGAACCTGGGCCTAGAGGTAGCCCAGGTCGCGATGGTAATCCTGGATTGATTGGATTAAGCGGAAATCCAGGACCAAAGGGCCCACCAGGTGACGAAGGTCGTCACGGTCCAGCTGGACCACCCGGGCCACCGGGACCGCCAGGTCCACCTGGCGAGATTGGACTAGGATACGATGCTGCATCTCTAGCTGTTCTGTTAGGTGATTATTCTATTGTTCGATTTACATGCACATACATTTGATAATATCAATTTATATCAGGGCAAGGTCAAACTAAAGGACCAGATCCATTAATTGGCGACGAACCACCGAGAATGTTCGGTCAAGATATGACAGAAGAAGAAAGGCAAGAACTCATTACAAAAGCGTACAATCAACTGAAATCGTCGTTCCAAAAATTGATAAAGCCAGACGGTGAGAAATATTCACCGGCCAAAACTTGTAAGGATCTTTACAGCGCTTATCCAGACAAACTTTCTGGTTAGTTCACGAGTTACTTTACAAAATACTTTATTAATTTAGTTAGTTAGTCAGAATATGTCTCTCTTTAAAATTTTTAGGAGAATATTGGGTCGATCCCAATGAAGGTGACACCAGAGATGCAATTCTAGTACACTGCGATGCTACGAAGCGTGCTACGTGTCTGTTACCAAGTCCTGTTCGATCCCCAGAAATTACATACATCACCGATCAGCCAGAAACATGGTTGAGCGAAATAGAAAACGGGATGAGGGTAAAAAGTTTTCTAACATTTATCAACTGCTAAACATAACTCAATTTAACCTTCTCTACATTCGTAATATACAGATTACATACAAAGCAGATAGCAATCAAATTGGTTTCCTGCAACTACTGTCTACGAACGCGTATCAGAATATAACGTACCACTGCAAAAATAGTGTTGCGTATTTCGATGCTGAGAGAAAAACATATAGAAAGAGCATGAAATTTTTAACATGGAACGATGCCGAATTAACTGCACGAGGAAATCAACGTTTGAGATACGAAATGATCCTGGATGAGTGTAGAGTAAGTTTTATACGACGCCAAATATAAAACAATTAAGCTATAGAGTATTCTAATATCTCTTGTTTATTATAGATATACAATGGTCAATGGGGCAGGACAGTTGTATTATATGAAACCGATAAACCTGTAAGGCTGCCTTTGATAGACGTGTCCTTGCGTGATATAGGAAAACCTGATCAAAGCTTTTATATTGAAATTGGTCCTGTTTGTTACATGTAATAAATTGGAATTCTATAAATACATCTTTACAATCTTACAAGATTAGTGTTCGTTTCGTTCCAAGGCAATCCTATTATCATCCAAACATGCAACCCCCACTTCGCACGTTGACTTCTTTATAAAATATTTTATTTAACGCGCGTACAGTCAATACCACAAAATTATACAAGAACAATATAAAATTTAAATCTCTCCTTGTTTGTCATGGACACGTAAATTCATTCATGGACATTTTATGTCTCTTGAAAGCATACGATTCTTTGAAACAGAAATATTATAATTACGTATTTACCTGATATCAATTCGTGATGTCCGACAGAAGAAAATAGCCGGGGATGACAGAGACTACATGCGAAACAGCAAGCCACACCAAAGCAAGGAAACTATAAAACAAATATAAAATTTAAAGGTTAGGATAGGTTATCCTTGATCACTGCATATTTCACTTGCAAATAAGTACATATATATGTGTATCTATGTATATATATATATATATATATATCTCACTCGTCTCGTTCGTATTAGCAAATAAGTACATATGTATATAATATGTACACACACACACACATTCAACAGGTAATCGTGGTGGGGTCCAAGAAGCGCGAATCGGTGACTGAAAAAATTCGCCGTTCAGTCACGTTCGCGTCGTTCGCGTTTGTCGTATCGTGTTGTACTTGTAGTAACTGTTCAAACATTTTTTATGCAAAGTATTACACAAAATTTATATTCTGATTCAAGACATTAGAAAATTAATAATTACTTCTTTATATCATACGAAGTTCCTTCTATGTCCACGCGGTCTAGTTAAAAACAAGTGTTTAACTTTTTGCATCGTAATGCCAAAGATTGACTGATGAAACACATTTCGTTCTGTATATATTGATCGATTGGCTACTTAATTGTTTGTTTAACAAGCTGGCATGAAAATAATTCCCACGTGGATATGAGGTTAGACGTCTGCACGGTGCAACATAAATTAAGCGACTGACGTAAGTCCTGTTACTTTCCTCTTGTTCATTTTTGCGAATATTATATATTATGTAAAATGCAAAGCGTTGATTTAAAATGTTAAATTCCTCAAATACTTGAATATGTTAGTTTAACTCCGTTTAAACTCCAATTGATGAAACGTTGAACAATAACAATGTTGCAGTTTTAATACGAGTGATCATTTTTCACAAAAAGCTTCTTTAGCTAAATTTTATAACTTTATATTGTGCAACGATACAGTTGTCTAATTCGTAAAGATTAAATTTAGAAAAAGACTTGTCAACAATTACAGTTGTTAATATTAAATATTAAAGTGCATTTCGATTTTCCACTTGCGAACAATCGAAGTAGATACGTTATGTGTGATAAAAGAAATTGAAAAATAATTTTAATTTACACATTCAACACGTTCCTAATGTATAAGCCCAGATGATTCACCAGAAATCTAAGAAATCGATAAAATACGTTGCAGGAAATATACGTTGGAATTTTCATCAGTCGCATAAGTTTAGATAGACGATATTAATGTTATGCCAGCTACTGTATAAATATACATTACAAATCGTATATGATAATTTTGATAATCGCACGTACGGTGCATACGCTTTACTTCGTTTCTTTTCACTAGAACTTTTTCCGTTTCTAACACTGTTCACTGTTCGTGTAATACATATTGCACGATTCTAATATTATGGCAGTTCAAATATAGAATTTAAATATAGGGACAGTCTGGTATCTTTTTTCAGCATCCTCCTGTATGATTTCGATAGCGATCAGACGGAAAGTAAAATATTCGTGCTATCGTCTGCGAACACATGCAAAAGCATGACGTAATGTAATACATACGCAGCAACAGTTTACAGAATTGATTAAATCCTGAAGGCATCTTCCAGACTAACAGCAGCATATCTTGCGAGCTATTGATAACGATTGAACGGATGCTAACAACAGTCAACATCGAACTACAGATATTGTTTACAGCATAATACTTGATCTCACGTTCATATTCACCAATTAGTTATATACAACGATAAAAATGGCTCTCTTCCGGAAAGTTAACGGTAAGTTTATCATTTGATCCTTTCATTGTTACATGCTTGTTCTTTTTCGTTATTTGTAATCTTTGTAAGTATTGGTAAAATATCCTTTAACTAATAGCGTTAAGCGATTATGGAAATCAGCAGACCTACGTAGATACGATTGGTGAAGCCGAAATTACGCTTCTTATCTTTCGTACGGAGAGAAAAACTCTTCCAAATATTTGCGTTAACTTAGTGATTACGAGAGTTAGCAATTTGATTGAAAAAAAAAGAGAAATTGGATTTCATCATACATGTTGTATAAAATGTTCCGAAACCGAATTCAATTAATAAATCCATAAGTTTTATACGAATTTGAATAATGTATTTTTCCAATAAATGAAGATACTTCGAAGACTAGAAATGTTTTATAGATCTGAAGTTCCGGCTTGTATTACGATCATTAAGTTTAATTAACTAGAGGTACATGGATAACTATCGTTATGCAATAAGCATTATTTTAGAAAATGCACACAGTAAGCGTCTATACGCGATAATGAATAATTACTATTGTATAATAATTTTACGTTATTCTTTGAAGACTGTTACGTACATTTTTTTCTCATCTACAATTTTCACGAGGTAATTTATTTTCACGGGATCATCTGCGAGTATGCATACTATATCTCCGGTACAAACATTACAGAAATAGATTAAAGAACGCGTATGTATCTATACATATACGCTGAACAGCTCTCTATAGACGTAAACAGACTAAATGACATTCATTTGTGAATATTGTATAGAGGAAAGAAATATTGTCCGTATTTTTTGTATATTTTTGAGTAAATAAAAATAAGAACAAAGACGAATGACTCAAACTTAATTGAATGAAGTCAAAAAAGGTTTCTCTCGTCCCTGATTCCAATGTCTCATGCATGTTTATGATTAAATAATTGATATCGCTGTTGGCAACAGACGCATGTGTGCCTCCAGCAGAATTAAAATTTATTGAAAGTTAAATATAAAGGTCAAATCCTCGAGTCGATTGCTAAATGCATGCTGCACAAAATGCGTACTGCACATCGCAGTTCTATTTATATTTAGGAATATTGTATTAGATCATTGCAAATAAAATTCATATCTGTTGGTCCCACATCGTTCCAAAACTTCCCAAGTTAAACGTGTTTAGATGTACGTTTATATTTTTTTTGCATCGCATTGCAGAAAAGATTCCGCGAAGAGCTGTTCTAGGAGCTATGATGTTCCTGGCATGTATGTTTTCCTATATGATTCGTACAAATTTGTCAATTACAATTGTCGCTATGGTGAACACAACTAGCAAGGGTGGTGGTGGTGGTGCAGCCTGCCTTGGTACCGATACCGTTAACAAAACTGTTGTACTTAAAAATGTAAGTTTGGATCATTCGATATAATAACATCAATTATGAATGGTATAAGTTTTCGCAATCAAAGTCACGATAATAAATCATAATTATAGTACGGTGAACGTTATGAATGGAATCAGCATATACAAGGTTTATTACTTTCTGGCTACTTTTATGGAGTACTGCCAGCGAGTGTACCCGCTGGTTTGTTAGCCGAGAAATACGGCGGTTCTAGAGTTGTCGCGTAAGTAAAATTCGCGATCACCGCGTAATATCTGTTATTTAAATATTTTACGTTTTCACCTACTCCTTGTGATACATTCTAATATAGATTCGCAACACTAATACCTGCATTATTAAACCTTTTGATGCCTTGGGCTTCTGGCATTCATTATGGTTTAGTGTTTGTACTTCGTTTTATGATGGGCTTCTTCGGAGTAAGTTACTCGCTGCATACTTTATTGTTTAAACACACTTTGTTTCTAAACGACTCTTTGTTTTTTCGGCATAGTACTTCTTTATTACCCAGTTGTAAAAAAAAGAATATTGTGCGTATTTACAGGGTGCCGTTTACCCTGCCTTGCACGCAATGATAGCGAGATGGGTCCCTCCTAGTGAGAAGGGCATGTTCGTATGGACAATGCAGGGTAATCGATCATAAACTGAACGACCAATTAACGGATGGAACATGAAATATTAAATTTTAATTGTCTCTTAGGTGGACCTTTTGGAACCGTAGTAACGTTCGCTTTGTGCGGTCAGATAATAAGTGCTCTCGGATGGAAAGCCGCGTATTATTTCACCAGCGGACTTATATTAATTTTTTATGCTTTGTGGTTTTTCCTTATATACGACACACCCGATCTCCATCCAGGAATTACTGAGAACGAGAAGGCTTACATCAAAGAGCAGATAGGCACTACTGTCTCTAAACAGAAGGTGAGTGTGTGTTTCGAATTAATTAGTTAATCGTATATGGATTTTGTAATTATCAAATGGATCAGGTGAATTTACCGGTGAAAGCTGTTGCTACCTCGGTGCCGTTCTTAGTTTTGCTGTGGGCTCATTTTGCGAACATGTGGGGTATTTATTTCATAGCTACTAACGGGCCGAAGTATACATTAGAAGTTCTTGGCTTTGACATGAAATCGGTATGTATTTACTTGTATTAAGATGAATATAATTGTCAAACAAAATTTCTTCCACGTTCAATTATATTTAGGGTGGACCGCTCACAGGGTTGCCTTATATTGCGAGACTCGGTGCCGGAGTCTTGTTTGCTGCGGCCGGTGATTACGTACGAAGGAAGAAGTTCCTTACTTTAGGTTGGATTAGAAAAATATTTATGATTTTCTGTAAGTACCTTCCCGATTTCATACACTTTTGCGGACAATAGGAAATACGAGAAATAATTATTTTTTTATTCACATAGCGCATTTGGGACCAGCGATAGCTTTGGTAGGAATGACGTACGCTGGCTGCGATGCGGTAGCTGCGATCGTCATGCTTATACTAGCTTTAGCGTCTAATGGAGCTGCATGTCAAACTAGTCTAGTGAATCATCAAGATCTCGCACCTAATTACGCCGGGTCCTTGTACGGAATTATGAACACCTTCGGCAGTTTTCCTGGATTCATCATTCCACCCATTATCGGTGCTTTGACAAATGAAAGGGTACGTGTCCACGCGAAATTATTTACTTATGGACCATTTTCATTTGATATTTTCTTCTTTCTTTTAGAACGGAGTAGAAGAATGGCGTATCATGTTCTGGATCTCAGCAGCGGTATTTACATCTGCGATTGCACTGTTTTGGGTGTTTGGCTCAGCGGAAATACAATCGTGGAACGACACGAGCCACCAAAAAGCGATTCCCGATGAAGAAACGGAAATGAACGCGATAGAAGTGAAGGAACCGCAAAAGGAAGAAGAGGAGCCCGATGAGAAATCAGCTTTATAATTTAAAAAGCCAATATCGAATTTCTATTAATTTATTTAATATAGTGACAAAGCGTGTTGCAGGTCACGCACAGTGCTTAAAGTGGTAGCGATTGCATCACCACAAACTGTATCAATGTCATTTTTTTTTTGCGATCATTTTGTGCAGCAAATTTTCATTTTTCAGTTCATATTATTATTTCTTCGAAACAATACATCGGTTTCGTTCCAGATTTTTGTTGGAATACTCGTATTACCTATACAACGTTGAACCAGTACACACACAGAAAATGCTTACGCGATATAACTTTTAGTTAGTTTGACGTGACTCATGTATCAAAAGTTTGTATAATAATTTTGTATAAGATTCCAGAGGGACAATAATACAAAAGATCTATTTGGAATCTATGCGATATTGGTGATCAGTCAATTACTCTTCGAGAACCAACGTAATATAACGAAATTTTCCTTAATTAAGGATAGTAGATCGTATACTGAAGTACATTTGAAAATGGCAATATGAACATTTAAAAATACTCGACCGCGTTCTATTATTTTGTGCCAAATAAAACAACATTAAATTTAATTATCGGCATCTGGGTCATGGTAGCGCAACGCGTTGACGTCAGTACGAAATGATATGCGATCTTCCACGGTTCGAATTGAAGAAATTGATCCAAATTCAAGTGTGTGTACCGGCATTATACAGAAAAATATAGCAAGAGCAATAATATATTTTTATAATATATATTTTATTTTGTAAACAACTTATGAATTGTATAAAAGCGATATTACAAATGACTTTCATACGTGCTTCATGGTAACTAATTTAAAATCCTATCACATAGGACTACACGTAAAATTTACAAGAGACAACATCATACATACAGTGGCCGACTCTTATTACATTTACGTTGCAGTCTATACATCTTGCCCTGTGAGTAATGTGAGTAGAAAAACGGTGTACGTGCATTTACTCTTGTCGAATAAATATTTTTTTAAATGAAAAGTCTTCAGTTACAAGAATCCTGGGAGAGGTATATAGGAATAACTTTAAACCCGTCGCCGTACGATTTGATGGGAACGTGCGAACAGGTACTGTAAGTGTTCGCATTTGGTAGATGCAGTTTCGAGAATACTTTACACGATTGTTGACCGCAAGGTACGTATGCTCTACTGTCCATGTTGTTCATACTCAAACACGCGTCGCACGTCGATTTATCGCACGCCTCCTCGTCCTGGTAATTGTTTAAATTATGCAGTGACGAACCGGGGCATGTTTCTCGCGTGCAAAACGTCTCTTTTAATATCTGCAAAGCGTTCGCCGCTTGCGAAGACAGTGTGCTGCGATAACTGCAAGTTTCTGGGAGAATTGATCGGTCCAGCAAAGTTACAGTCGTTTGACTGGAATTAGTCACGGATTCTATAATAAAAGTGCGCGTTTACTTTTGACGTTTAATCCTCCGATTACTGAACCGCGAATTTCCATGCCGGAATCATTTTTTACCCGCACACGCCACATCGATATTTTACTAATATAATGTACATTCGTTGTCCCCTCCCCAAGCGTAATCAAGGGACGAGGCACCAAGGCACCTCGCGTACACCGTTTCAATGAACATTATCGCTCCCGAGGCGGGGGTGCGGCCGCGAAACCTGATTCTGGCACGATAGGCAGAGGATAATGATAAAATAGTAGTAGACTTACCTTTTATTCATTATCGTTGCATCGGTAACGTAAGACCATTCGTTCACGGATTCTAAAAAATAAGTAGAATTCTCGAATAAATAGTAAAAAGAATATTGTTTTCGTACGTACCTTGCGGCTCAATCTCTTCGTCGCGTTTCATTAACAAACGTATCTGTCGACAGCAGTCTGCTACGGAATCCGTCACATCACGAGGCTTGTATTTAGCACTTTGTACTGCGGGTTTCGCTTTTTGTTCCGGTGGACAAGGAGGTTGAAGCTGTTCGTCTTTGTCTGAAACTTTCGTCACGACATAACACGGCTTGTAAGCTAGTAATATATCCTGCGTGCGAAGTATTTTCATGTCCTCCTCCGGAACTTCCTCGCCTTCTTGATGTTCTAAGCACCATTGACACATCGACTGCCTTCTGCAAACGGAGCATAGAACCTCTCTCGACCTTTTAATCTTCTTCACTTCCGAAATTGCAGCTATGCTTGTTTGAGTCGCGATCGTTTCCGTTTCCTTCTTCGACATCGACTCAAGGATTTTCTTCTTCCGCTGCGCTAACTTTTGATCTATCGGTTTACCTAGACCAATATCAACCTTTTAGAAAATTATCTTTTACGTCGATTAGATTTATACTAACGTTCCATTTCTTGATGCAGTTTCATGAGCTTCTTAATTATAGTCATCGTTCGCTGAAGGACCACGTCTAAGACATTCTTAGCCCCTTTAACAGCATTCTTGGACACGTTTTCGCAAACCAACTGCAATATGTCACTCATCAAAGGCACGACAACGATTGATGCCTCCAAGGGATCCACAATTATGTCCAGCTTCAATTTTCTCAATACGTCTTCTTCCTTCTCTTTCTGATCTAATTTATACGTAGCTATCGTCTGTATCATCTGTTCCTTCATAGGATACCTAATTCTTTCTGCACACTTGTCGATAATCTCATTCATTATATCGTCTATCGCTGTCTTGGTCTCGATGCCTTTCGAGATGCAATCCTCCAAGCAGTCCAAAGCTATGTTCTTCTTCTCCATATAATCCGTCAACAGCATCGTGTTCGATTTCTTCGGTTCGCAACTTAACTCCGTTTGCGCTTCGTTATCTATCACGAACATTTTCGTACGGTTGTTATATTTAATGTAAGTCTGAGTCGCTTTATCATCGGTTTCAACTGGCGCTTGGCTCGTCGGGTCGTCTATCCAAAATGCCCGCGCTATCGCGAAGTGCAGAATTTCAGTCACTTCCATTTCCCTCTCTTCTTCGTCGCTAAGTTTAGATTCGAATTCCTCGCGTTCCTCGTCCGTAACGTCCGCGATTAATTGATCGATCGCAGAGTCGCGAGACGTTTCGGGATCGATGCTAATTATAGTTCCTGCCACGTAGCTCCTTTTCAATCTAGGCATTGGCCCTTCGATCATGGATGCTGTACACGATTTTCAAATCACTTTTATCGTCCACTTTATTTGATAGACGAGTATTGATAGCAATTTAAAATTGGTAAATCGAAACGACAAAGGATGATAACACGTACTCATGATGTCTCTATAATATTTCAAAGGCGGACAAGGAGTGCTCATGTACATCGTCTGCGAAGCTTCGTCTTGGTATTCGATGGAAATGTGCACGACAGGCATCCCTTGCAGATACGTTTGGTTCTCCGCATCTTCTTTTTGCTTCTCTTCCGGTATCTCTACTTCAGATATTTCTTTCAGTTCCTCTTCCACCAATGATTCTTTGGCGTCTACGAATTTCTCCTGAGTGAAAGATCGTCTGTAAACGATTTCGCTAGGGTCGAGGATTAATTGTATGTCCGACGTCGCGGACACGGTGGTTTCTTCCGATATTTCTCTCAACGTTGCAGCTTCTTCCGGTGTTACCGTGATGAGAGTTTGAGCCCATGCTTCACCTTCCGACGTCATCTAATTCATTTAATTATTAATATAGAATTTAAATTTGTAATAACTTGAAATTTTTTATTTTTTAAAGTTCAGTTTTTTATGCTTACTTCGACAATGAATGAAAAGCAGACTATTGAATGTAACTTTCTGATAATCAGTGAAGAAATGGATTTATCGTTTCTATTGGCATCTCAAAGTACCTTTAGATTTTTTCTAGAAATCTGACAATTTTAGGGATTGTTCGAAAATTTTGTTATCGGAATTTTACATATTAAAAGGTTATAAGATTTACACGTCAGGAAGAGTGACATTCAATTTTAACTATACCATACATGTGTATGTATGGCATGGTACTAAGTAAATACTGGTAATGGTCAAGGCAATTGATTTATTTTACATATTTTTAAAAAATTGACATAAAAATAAAAACGTTATTGTTCGTTACATTTTATAAAAAAAAATCAGTTTCTTATCTTAGTTCTTAACTGGTACAAGCTTAACTATAAATGTTCGTATCTCCATTGGTTGTAAGAGAACGTTTACACCGCCGTCTTTAATCTCCACGGGAGGAGACGGATTCTTATCTTCTCTAAGAACTTCATTCGTTTCAGCTTTCCAGATCAGTCGATTCATATCTTTGGACCATTGATTGGCACCTAACGTCGTCTCTTCGATGGATGCGATTGTGAAATTCGCGAACAAATCCTGTCGTGATAAAAGTCATAAGAAAAACGTAAGAAATTTAGTTAATCTAGCAGAATATTATTATTTCTTCACGTACTTGAATATTAACTTCCACGGGCGCGGATAAACTTTCGGTTTCACCCACTTCAAAGATATGTTCCAATCTTAGTAAAACAGCATCGTCTTTCCACGGTTCCAATGTCAAAATATGAACGTTCGGTGGAAGAGATTTAGCCAAACCAGTATTCTAATAGAAACAAACAAATTTACGTCGTCTCGCCAATAATAACGATTAGTTCGACTTTTCTTACCTCTGGAACACGCGTGTCCTGTGGACACTTAAAAGAATCTGTTTCGGCAGGGCTAACGAAAGGCCAAGGTCGGAGCAAAGTTTGAAGAGCTAAAATTTTCTCCTTCGTTGCAAGTTCGTCAAGATTTTTTATGCTTCCTCCGATGATATAATGGGTACCTCTAATCACTAAACCTTCGTTGTACGCAGTCTCGTTAAGAGCTTCGCCAACGCCGAACGCGTCGTCCTTTAAAAGTCTTCTATGGAGCTGCAATGTATCATGCGATATAATTTAAATAAATCATGTGTTTAATTTTTTAAATTAATTTTACCATCATTTCGATTTCGCCATCAATCATGCTGGTACCACCCTGAGCCCTGTCAGTTAAGACGCTCAGCTTCAACTGTTTCTCTTCATCTTTCACAGAAATCTTTGAATTAACTGGATAATAATTGCCAGACACCGGTTCCTCTAATCTCAAATTCCACGTTGGACGGTAATTCCTCTTTCGTTTTAACATTTCGCGACCATTACTATCGGTATAAAATAGTCCCGCGGAATCCAAGTTACTAGAATATCTCGTTACTACTTCTTTGCCAATCTTATCTCTGCAATTACATATTTTTATTATTACTTCCTAATTAATCGATAGCGAACAACGCGTACTTACTCGACGGGTATCGGGCCAACGAGCCAGTCGAATTCGACATACTCTTTTCCTCTGTAAACTCTAATTACCTGGTGTATCCAACCAGCGACATATTGATGAATCTCCTCCACTAACGGACCTAAATAATCGATTCAATTTATTACCTAAGCATATTAAATTCGAATAGAAGTTCGTAACCAAATATCTATATCAATCTTGTCTTCAGCTCTCAATTAAAAATGGTACTAATGTTCGTTTCGATACTGTAGCTTCAACGAAGCTTGCTTTCGTTTAATTACCTTTGAAAATCTCGTAAGAACCAGGTAACTGGAAGTTCCTAGCAGACACCCCATTGGGTCTGAAAATGTATGCACCCGATGATCTGTTTTGAGCCACTTCGTTATTGCCTTCCATTCCCTCGTAGTAATGGAACGATTGAACCAAATTCATTTTCTCTTTCTTCCATTCTACAGAAATTTGGCCATTTTTGTTGACGGTGACCGTATAAAACTAAACAATTTTATATTTTTTCATTCACACATATTTTCTTCTTCAGTTAGATTATTGCAATAATATCTACCTCGTTGCCGATGGAATTTTCTTTGACGGCTATTTGATCCGTTACCTTTGGCTCTTTTTTAATACTATAAGACTTGTAACCCAAGGGCGGTAACGTTGCGAGGAATACAAGCTCGTGCGTTGCATTACTGTTTCTACCCGGTATTGCACGGACGGAGGTCGGAATAGGAACGGTTTGCGACACGATCTCCGAACAATCTTAAGAAAAATAAATGAAGAAGAATAGAAATAAATGATATACGATATTTTTTAGCTAATTAAAGATTGAAAGGTGTACCTCTCATATCCACGACAACTCTGTCTTGTTTAGTAATGGGAATACGAACGGGAGATACAACATTTCTACTCAAGGGATTGTAAACTACGAGTTCGAAATCTTCGGTTTCCGTGTACGAGCACGAGCTAATATTCGTTAGCATGCAGGAGTACATGTTCACTTGCTCCAATTCAGTCTGTCCATTCGCTTGCCATTTTCTATGAACCAAATGATTTAAAAATAAATAAAACGTAGTTAAAGCGTTGCATACAGAAACTTTGAAATTCACCTAATACCCTCGGAAGCGATATTTAATCCCTGTTGCATGTTATCAAACAATAAGCGAGCGTAATCGTACGCAACTAATTGTTTCTCAGTACCAGTAACTGCATCGTGATGTTGCATTACGCCCATCGCTTCCCGAAATGATTCTAATTGTTTCTCGCTACCTTTTAATTGCATCAGCACAGACAATTGTTTGGATACCTGCAATCATTCGTTCAAGTCGATGAAATATTTTTGGAAACATGAAATATTTATTTTACCTGTAGAAGGTTGTTTCCCATTCTTTCAAAGAATTTGATCGCTGGCCTGGAGGAGAAGTATCCGGTCCAATACGAATGAGAATCGCTCGCGTAAGGGAAGAAATCGTCCTCCTTGGTCACCCACTGAAGCTTCGTGTCGTGCACAGCTTTCAAATAACACGATGGCGTAGAATAAAATATGTTCACTTCGGTACCATTCAACTCCTTCACGTACCTGCCAATTACGATGCGACGCATATAAAAATATTATAACGTATCGAAATTAAATAAACGAATTAGTTGATCGATTTTTTATATGCAAATTCCTCCCCGTTATTCGCCATCGATCGTTTTACCTGATCAATTTATCCAAGTTACTGAACCAAAATTCAGCCTGTTGATAATTAAAGTCTTCGCCCATAGTGAAAATAACGTTATTTGTCTTGTACGAGGCTGCTTGACGATTCGCGTAATTCAGTAACGCTTCGACCTGCACAGCACACGCGGTCTATGTACTTACCACCGCAATCTGTTATTCGCTTTTCCTTCCTTTTCCATGCACTCTTCGCACGCGCATTTAAAATTAATAGTTCAATCCAAAAAAGCTACCTTATTAATTTATCCATGTTAACGAAATACATTTCCGCTTGCATGTAAGTGAAATCTCCTCCCATCGTAAATATAATGTTATTCGTACGATACACTTCAGCCTGGCGAGCTGCGTATTGCAAAAGCGTGTCGATCTAAGAGATTTTCACTGTTAGTTGACTTTAACTAAGTTAATCACACGTCAAATTGAATTTAGTAAGTAGTATTAGTAAAAAGGAAGGAAACACGTGTTAATAAAGTTTATCTTCGGTGAATCGTAAGTTACGCGGCGTACCCTTTCTTTCACATTGTAATCTGGACTGTCGGGATCGTCGATTATCGGCTCGTCTCTGCATAAAACATCGTAACAGAAACCAGGTGGTGGAGAATAAGTATTATATAAGGCAACTGTGAACAAGTCCGCGCGTGTCCCTATGTAACAAAACGATTTTTCAATTAAAAGCTCTGGACATCGAATCAAATGTTTTTTTACCTAAGCTTGGACTTCCTTTCCAAATGAATTCCATTGTTTTACTCGCAAGCCTGTGATTCTTGTCTTGATAATCGAGCCGGCCAAGGAACATCCCGTCGAATCCTAATTGCGCGAGTAAAGAAGCCTGTTCTCTTGAATGACCGAAGGGATCGATTTGCCATCCTATGTGCGGCCTCGCGCAGCTTCCGAACGTATCGTTCAAACGTCTGGAGTAAAAATGGAGTCAATGTAATTATGAAAATGAATTTGAAATTCTAAATGAAAATGATTACCGGAAACCCCAGGTGTATTGATCGACGAGAGAGTGATAATGAGTGACTGCCTCGTCGTTCATACTCCAACCGCCGTTGATAATTTCCAATCTTCCTTCATTTATCAAATTCCTTACATCCTCCCTCACCTTCTCGTTTTGCCGCAACCACCATTTCCACAAGAATGCAGTTTCGACGTAGATGAACCTATATAATTCGCAGCGGGAAATATATTATTTTAATACTTCGCAGCAAACGCATTAACCGTTTTCCTGAATGAACTATGCATAAAAGTATTAATTTTTATAGAATGAAAATCTAATTACTTTCTTTCAGGATCAGCCAGCAGTGCTTGAACGACGCTGTCTAGAATGTACTGCACTCCTGCTAGTTGAATCTTCGACCGGCCTTCGTTCAATGAGTTATACATGGCATTATTCGATATTATATTTACAAAATATTGTCGATAGAAATTTTCTAAATCCGCACTTACTTCCGAAATAGTACTGATCAACCGTTTTCAGCCAGCCAACATCGTCGTGAGTGTGAGCAACTAAATGAATATTTAATTTCTTTGGATCCGTCGCAGGACATGACTGTAACGTTAAAGATCGACGATATCTTCTTTATAGTTTTCTTCTATCATATCCCATTCTTATTTCTTATACATACATTAACGCCGAGAAACAATATTTAGATGGAGAACAAACCCGATAACAAGAGGTCACTCATTACTCATTGATGTTTATGACATTTTTATTGCATTTGACTTTCCATTGACATTTTAACCGAACAATTTCTCAGGCGACAAGCCTTCGCGATGAAAAGAAATAAAAAGAGAACGCAGGGAAATATATCCGACTCGTAAACGTTATAGCTATTACTTCTTCCTCTCAATTAGTATTCTTTACGTGGTAATTCACGTTAAACGCAATGTTAGACGCATATTTAATCGTTGTACGGAACAAGGAACGCTTTGTGCACAAATGTGTTTCAGATACGTTTCTTTCTTTATTGTTTGTTCGTACAGTGGGTATAACAGAAAATACCATATTTGTATACGAATTGTCGGTGTTTACAGAAAAAATGTATTTGCATGGTACCTCATAGCCGCAGGTGTTAGCCGCTCTCTTCCAGACGCTCGCTGCTTCTTCATGATTGAACAAGAACAAGAACGACACCGATAGAAGTAAACCACGGGACCAAGACATGATAGACACCGATTCAGCGCTTCAGTTGCACCTAATGAAATAATCAGGCACTTCTACGATATTTATAAGACTCTGTTCTTCCCCTACTTATATTGCTTTCCCACTGCGATTGCGTGAAAAGATAGAAGATAGCCTGACGCTACCCAGCTGTGAATTTGCGTATTGTGCATAATACGCTAAAAAATGGAAAAGAAATGCACAAGCAAGTATTTGTTTTAATTGTTATCAATCTTCCACTTCCGTGCAATGGATATTTGTAGCATTCATATTTGTGGCATTTATATTACCATTTAAATATAACTTCCTTTTATATAATTTTATCAGTTGATGTAAATATCGAATAATGTGAATTTTGCGAACGGAATATTTTCAGATCTGATTGAATTTGATCAACATGTTCAGATACAAACTGATACATTTTTACATCTGATACTTGGATTAGTAGCTGAACAATAGTCGTATCGTACCGTGATATGCATCGTTTTGTGATCCATTTCAATAGTGGTAAACATGTACATGATTGATACAACTAAAGATGTATATCTATGATCATACGAGAGATAATTTGAAATTGATGATGAAATGACGATGAATTTGGGTAATATTAAAAGTACGCTTTATCGTTATGAAAACAACATTTATTTGGATAATATTATAAAGTAAAATGCAATAACACTGCTGAGAAGCATAAATAAGGATGAACGTCTTAAGGGAGAGGTAGCTACATCAAGCAAAACGAAGCTTCAAAAGTACATAAGTATACGCGTACTGCATGTCATTCTTTTCGGCGGAATCATTCGCTGCGCCGTTATTTTCATTTCGTCTTTGACAAGACATCGGATCAGTAACGAATTCAAAATTAACCAAGGGTAAGTTTGTATAATCAATGGTATAGTCGAAGAACAATTCTTTAAAATGTACTTTAGAATTTCTGAAAAATATCGATTCTCTTTAATCTGTGAATGCGATTATCAAACCTAATCCCTCTGCATAAGATAATCGCAACAATATCTTGTATGATCATTATGAATTAAATTTCAACGATAGATAGATTGTAAATACAGGTTTTTAAAAACTTATAATCGTATAACTTTTATATCGAGAGATTAGGGTCGATCGATATCACATATTAGCGAAACGTACCCAAAATATGTAACTATTTCGACGACCCCTAAAAATCAGAATAAACGATCTCTTGCGGCTTCTCGAATTTTATTGGTCTGTAATATTGTAGTGATTGATCCCAGCCTCGGGGCGCGGTATTGTAAGTCGGTAGATTGTGGACGCTAGCTATTTTGGGCCCTGCGTACGTATTATTCTCGCTCTCGTACAATTTCTTCCCTGCAAAAAAAAAGTTCGATTCCTACAAACCTGTTTGTAAGTGCCAAAGATCAAAGAATCGGACTATAAGATTTGGTGATGAAATGAAATAATGGGTTTGATGAGAAAATAAAAAGTGAATACAGCAATATGAATTTATCATATCAAACATATAAATTATGAATTTTTGAACGACCCCTAAGATTATAGTTGAAGGAGCAATTTTTGTTAGTGAAACAATTGTTAAAGCTTAGAAGCGCATGCGTGTTAACTTGCCTACGTCCGGACAAATGTCCGTGAACTTCAAGTCCGGCGAGAGGCCGTGTAAAAGATTGTCCAGAACGGGAGTGTTACGCAAATTCTTGATAGTCTGCAAGATATCCTTTTGAGAGGCGATCATCGAGAGTAACAGAGACTTGGCCTCGGGTGGCACTTGCGAATCCGTATTCAGATATTTCCCGTTCTCGTTGTTGCAGAAATTCTCGACCTCCTCGGAGGTGACCGACCGGCGTCGGCCGGCGCCCTCCTCGCGGAACATCGACGAGTAGTCCTGTTCGCCATTCATCAAGCTCAACGTTTCCGATTTCTCGCGATACGTCATCTCCTCGCTGTAATCGTTCATCTGAGAATCGGTCTCGTCGGTCGTGTATTCGGTCTCGTCGGTGGACACGTAGCCATTGTTACGCTGCTCTTGAAGATTTACCAACTCTTCGTATCTCTGTCGTTCGGCTATTCTGTATCGACAGTATAATGAAATTACGAATTCTACGCGTTTACTATTGTTATCGACGACCCGTGTTAATAATAGATGCCGTATACAGTAGTTTGAAAGTGTGAAGTGAAGTGCCGATATCGTGTTTGTTCTTTTTTACTGTCTATAATTGTTGAACTGATATCGAGGACGGCATAAATATATTTACTTTCTAGCTAATTCAGTATTCGAAAATGTCCTAAGATGATCTCACAGTTCATCGATTATACACGTGGTTGCAAATGATAATTTAGTCAGGATCGGACCTCACCTCCTATGTTCCTCCTCGGTGTTGTACTTAACACTGTTTCGCGTCTCAAAGAATCGCGTAATATCGTTATCGAGAGGCGATTGTTGTATGATTGGTATGACCCTTGGACTGATCTGTTTGTACTGCATGACCGGTCTGCACGTTTTCTCGAATTCCTGTATCAACTGTTTAACGGGGACCGGCGTGTACTCAGTCTCTTCGTTATCGATCTCTCTTTGATTATTTACAAACTTGTTATCCTTATCGGTGCTCGTGCTCTTTACACATTCTGCGACCCGTTGCTCCTTTATATAATTTTTGTTAGCGACGTGCTGCGCGTTAAAGTAATTAGATTTGCTAGAAGCCTTGTTAGAATTATTATAATTGTGCCTGTTAGTGAACGATGATTCGTTAGTGCCGTTTCTGTAATAGTTGTGCCGTTCGACGTCGGGTTCGAACGTGATCCGGCGTGATTTCTCGACTATCGATCGTGGTTTGTCGTAAGGGAAATCGTTATCGGTACCGACGGCCACTTCCCTTAAATAAATCTTTTTCACTTCGCAGTGACTATGGCTGCATTCGTTACCGTTACATCGGTATTGATTCCTGCCTGGGACGTTTACAGGACTTTGCGTCACTGTGCAGAGGATTAAATCAAGACGAAGTTACTATATTTTTAATTAAACGGATCGATTTATAAAGTCGTTAGTATAAGATCGAATGTCAATGCGCTTTTAAGTAGCTTCGAATCGGTGTAGATACCAATTGGCACACGAGAGAAGCGCAGCCCGTTATTTATTTTAGGTATAGAAAAAAGAATGTGGTGGCAGTCTCGCATCGATTGAATAACATCGATGCTGTTTGCCAATTGAAGCCTTCTAGGTCGTTGAACCCTTGACGAGACTCTGACAAGCTAATTTAACACCGACGTCTACGGGAAGAACGCATCGACGTTTTGAAAATACTTTTCGGAGCTCACGTAACGAGAGAAATTGAATAGAATTCAGAAGAAAATATAAGATTTTTGTTACATCAAAAATATTTTTGATGGATCATCGTGTTTACGTTGAAAATGAAATCATAAGCAAGAGAATAGAGTAAGTCGACCAAAAATAAATGTGAAGCAGTCTAGGTTGAATTTAAGACCTTGGAAATGACTGGTCCGCGAAAACAATTCGAGCAAACAGGAATATTGCGTGGATTGTTGCCAAATAGAAAAGCGGCCAACTAAATTACATGGAAGATATGACTTCGTTCGAAGTTTACACACCTGTTGTCGGTAGGTTCGCGTCGCCTAAGGACAGGTCCACCGTAAAGGGATTGTAAAACGGTTTCTCCACAGCTGGCTCAGGTAGCGTCGAGGCGAACGGAGGTAAGCCCGAGCACTTTGAACTGCCATTCATTTCCTGCGGACAATACACACTTATCTGCTTCTAATATTCTATGCATTGAAGTCTTTTTATCATCTGGACATTCAATTCTTCATATGCTGAAAGAGATTTATAAAAATAAGCCTCACCGGTTTTCCTGTATACATTTTCGGGGTGCCAGGTGTGCCTGGCGTTTGTGGCTGTTCTTTATCTACAACCCATTTTTCAGATCTTTTCCTGCGTTTCGCGAATATCTCGGCACCTGGACCAATTTTATGTTTAACCAAATGATCGTACAACTTTCTTCGGTGAAAATTTGAAACTATTACCGCGTCCTCTTTGATTATTCAAATCGCGAACGATATCGAAAAGTTTCTCAGGATTCTTTGGTACCGGCTGAATATTTACTTCTTCGCCTAATGCTTGAATACCGTGAATATCCAACACCTTCCCGTATGGGTTCATCATGCATTTCAAAGGAATTTTGTCCTATTGAAATTAAATATGAAATTGTAACTGGTACATAAAATATAATTTTAATAATTCAAATGAATAGTTGAGGAGGATGTGTAAAGAAATAGGCAGTACAATTTTAAACACACACCACTTACTCTATGAATAGGAGTTAAAGATTCGTCTGCATCTTCTATGCCTAAAATAGATCGGATCAAGAATTAAATAAATAACGTTGAAAAGATTGCATTCGCGTCGAGTGACTCGCGAAATTCATAATTGCGTTTAGGCGAATTACTATGCGCGTACCGTTACCATCGTGGATCCATTTCACCGATCTCTTCTTTCTATTTACATACATTGATTGACCCTTGCTCTTCATATTTTTCACATCGCTCAGCGAATGCGAAATCCGCCGAGCAAGTTCAACTTGATCCTCGACAGTCGGATGCGTCGGCGCATAAAAATACGAAGATGCAAACATCTTCCCTAAAAGAAGAGACGCGTACATTCGAATCTGGCTAATCGAAATTCTTTTGTTCTCAATTTTCTTATGGTAATTCTATTTCCTATTATATTGATAACTTACTGTTCTTCGATTGCATGAGTCCCTGCGTATCTTGGGCGGGCGTAAGCAATTTTTGCAAATTGACCGGCGCACTTTCGCTACTCTCCTTTGGAATTAAAACAAAATTTTATATTCGGGTCCAACTAACTTTTGATCATATTGGATTTGCCATTTATCAACTTAAAGGCGGATAGAGACAGCAGGAGTGTCTCTCGTCTATGTAAATTTTATTGTTTCTTTGATTCTCGAAGCTCACCATGTCGAAATGTAGTATTTTCGAAGTGAGATGCTCAAGAAAGTTCCTCTTCACCGGATCGTGCCTGTCTGACGGCTTGAAACCGCGCGAACGTATTACAACATTGTCCGCGGAAATGCTCCGCTGCAGATAATTACCCTCTTGCACGTTACTACTGTAATTCACGCTGTAGTCGTATTCCGCATCTTTAGAATTTCCTGCTACACCGTACGAACTATACGTGCTGCTCAAAACGTTCCACTTCGCGTTATTGCGTCTGTTGAAACGGGACAATTGTTTAGTCTACGTTTTTGTACAAACTGTTAAACGGCAGCTGGTCAGCATCCTTTTGTCTCAGTTTATCAGTGATTCGTACAAAATACATGAAGTGCTTGAAAACTTGAAGAAGAGTACTTCTTGCATGTTACTATGTATTTCATACGAATATGAATGACTGTGCTTATTTAAAATAGGTACTGCATAATTATCAAGATTACTCAAAGAAAAGAATGGAAGGGTAGAAAGAATTTTTTCGTAAACTGATCTCGAGGGATATTTTATTCTTGTATTGGAACAAATATAAAAAAAATATTATGCGTAGTTTCGAAGAATGGAAGGTGCGCGGAGGTGCGGAGGATCGGGAGAAGAAGCTTCGGTGTTAGATAAGACTTGGGCAAATTGAATTTTTCTATCGAACCGAATTGGTTCCCTTCCAAGCGGCCAATTAATTCCGCGTTGCAGTATTGGCAGCGGTACAATCAGGTTCTGTGCAAAAGAAATGCTAAATTTATCTGTTGTAACGTAATACGCAGTAACAGTTTGAGCGGTTGCGTTTGGGGTTTACCACCAGCGCTGTACTTATTGGAAAACTGATCGAAACATCGAGATCACCATGAAAACTATTCTGTTCGATGTTAGATCTTTTTAGTATAGAATGGGGTTAACGATTTTAGTTTGCCTGGCTCGTTTTTGATCGATGATCCGCAGCAGTTGAAGGCGGCGCGTATTTAACAACGCACTGGTTTGTTTTAGTCACCGATGCATCGCACAATTAAGCACAGTCGGACCTCGAAATCACGCAGAACTTTTACGATGCGAGAAAAAAAAAACAGATATCACCCTTGTTATAAAAAAAAAAAATCCGTTTTGCAGCTAATTTTCTTCTTCTTTCTAAATTCTTCTACGAGAAGAAAACGAATGAAGTTTACTTATCGAACGATGTCCTCCTCATCTCGCTCCTTCCTCGCCTTCCCTTATATTGCTCTGTTTTCGCTACAATTTCTTTTACGAATTTACGTAATCCGCGAATGGATACTACGAACTCCGAACTCTGTAGCCCGTGCGAAAAGTGGATGAATCTCACGACGAAGGCTCCCTCGCCATGAGAGACGAATCCGCATCTTACAAAATATTCCCTGGCACGCACGAACGTAGCCGGGTGGCACACACAATCGCGGTAACTCCGTCGGCGCGGACAACGATTGGCGGCCAGCAGTCATCGGCATCGCCGTGTGCTGGCTCATCACTTTATGCAGAGAAACCGAAAGCGAAACGCCGCGCCGGAGAGCGAAAGATATTTATTTTTATATCGCACGAGCTATCAATAAATTTCTCATAATCACGGCGAACAGCTACGCTCCAGCAACATTGAATTTGCTTTTTTTTTACACCTACATACGTAACTGAATCCTCCACGAGCCGTCCGAAGGTCGAAGCTTCCTCGGCTGCGCGTACCCTTTCTTTCCTTTTGATTACACGAAAAAAAAACACTATTAATTTCTGTCGAAAATTTTTTTTCCTATCTGTACTCGTACACTTGAATGAATTACAGCACGCTGAGCACACGGTGCTTTATAATAGCAACTAACCGTCGCTATACCAACTTCCCGACTGCCTTGAGTCGTCTTCGGTAAAAATAGACTATCAGAAAGCGACACCTCAGAAATCGGTGGCCGGACCCGCGACGTAACTTATGCCACCCGCTCGGTGCCGGCCACGACTTCTTGTTTATCACTAAATATTTTTTTATCGCATAATATCTCTCGCGCTGTTATAAACATATTAAATCAAATCTCGTTGCGGGAGCGGAGCGAGGCACTTCTTACGACTAAACTTATCGGTTGTCTGTATACAATTATAAACGCCAGCTTTATTTTCAATTAAAACTAATACATATTTTTATGAACAAATTTGACAATTGTAAAAGTCTTCATTATAAAATCGTATTTGTTATTCTGGTACATATGAAATAAATTACGTGCTAGTCCCAATCGTCGCTATTTATATCTTGTACAATATCTGTATTCTCTTTGGGTAGAACGATGTCATTTGTTTTCTTGATAACCTTCGATCTCTTCTTCTTCTTCTTTGGCTTCGGAGGTTTTTCAGTTTCCGGTTGATCGGAAGATTTTATCCTCAGCTCAAAGTCACTTTCCTCACTGCTCTCCGCGTTTTCTTCAGTCGTCGTCCTCTTCTTCAACTTTTTCAGTGTCGGCAAAGTATATTCGGCTATCTCTTCGTTTTTCGTAAGCAACTTAAGCTTTTGGGACTGATGAATCTTCACCCACGATTCGTAGAATTTCGCTATCGATGTACCTTGCGTTTTTATTTTGTTCTCCCAGTTCTTTATCTCAGGCAGATTTTTTAGATCGAGTACAGTTTTGCTGCGCTCTGTTTCGATGTACTTCCGGTTCTCCTCGATCTTATCCAGTAATTGTTTTATCTTTCTAGAGTAGTTCGCTATATGACATTTCTTCAAGAATCCCTTCAACTAAAAATAAAAATGAACGTATACGTAAGCTATTCAAAACTCGAGAATGCATAAAACGTTAGGACTTACCTGTATTATACAAGGTATGTACAAATCTGGAAAATACACTTTGTGGCTATCCTTTGCAGCGCTTTCTAACGTAAGCTTGTATATAGCTTCGAGAACATTGTCTTTAAATCCGTTTTCTTGTAATTGTGATTTAGACACCCTTAGGATACAAATGAAGGGTACCGGTTTCATAGATACTGCTTTATGTTTTTTGTTAAAATCGTAAGAATTCAATATCTGTAAAATTGAAAGGTAACTTATAACGTTCAGCAGAGCTTTAATCATTTAATAAGGATGTAAAATAATATACCTCTAGCAAGAACGGCAAAACAGGTATGAACACATCGGTTTCTCTTGAAATGTCTATTAACATCTGCAAACAATGAAATCTCAGAGGATAGTATTGCGTCGTTGGTATCACTTTTATCGTTCCTGTAATAATCTGGAAATGTATAGAGTATGTTAAATATATATTTGGTAGACTCGTCATAATAACAAAGATACGTACTTGTACAAGAGGATATAAAAGTGAACGTAGCATCGAATCGCTCGAGGACAAGTTTATTAATTCTGTCCAAAAACGCAGTGAATTTATATACTGCCAATTATATACAGCTTGAAAGTGTTCCTACGAGAATAGAAACGTTAAGTGATTTATCGAAAATCTCTTTTATTAAAACATTTACCTTCTTCTTCAGAGTCATAGCATTTCTTAAATGTATAGCTAACTGCCTGATATACAAGAACGCATGGTTATAAGCCAAATTGTTATCTAACAGATATATTTCTACTAAGGAGTGCCTCATGAAGTTTATCCCGGGTAACGTATTGAACGAAACAAATTTCGAATTCTCAACATATTTTACATACATCGTCTGTAAAATATTATTTGATTAAACATAATTTTAATAAGTATTAATGAATATTTTGTGCTTACCTTGAGTAGCGTTTCTAAAACTGATTCCCGATTACTAGTAGCAATGCGTAATATACTCAGAAATGAGACAACTCGAACAGTCTCTTCTCCGCTTGACCAAAGTTTTAACAAGATTTTCAACAGTGGCTTTGTTAAAGAGGAAAAAGCCGTTGTATATGGTAACATTTGATGTAAATGTTTCAACAGCACTGTGAGAATGTTAGTCGACGTTACATTTTGTAATATCTACGAGTAAGATATAAATGTAAAATATTTTAAATCAACAGTTGTTTAATATCTTAGTATCACGGACATTTACCTTAATTAAATCAGTTAAATACGACTTTAGAACAGTCTTTACTTTTCCAAATCGTTTAGCTTTGTGAACTTGAAACTGGGTATCTGGACTTAATTTCAAATACCGTTTCATCGCATCGGGTAAATGCAGTATACACAGTTGAACGACTCCGTTAAACACTGAAAAATATTCCGATCATTGAAATAGAAAATATTATGTTAATACCAAACAGTAATAGAAGAAACTGACCTGCTCCACCCTCTACTTTGTATTCCAATGATTCCTGATCGGCAGACCCAGACACTGTTTGTAAAGCAGCATGGAATGCTTCCACAGCACATTTAATGGTTTTCAAAGATCTATCAAATAAATGTGAATTTAAATACGATAATATTTTTTCTGTATTACCATTTCATTTATAATAAAATATTACTTGTCTTTCTGAATTTCTTCTTGCCAGTTTTTCAATAATTGCAATGTAATTTTTCTCCTATCCTTCCCACTATCTTCATCAGCTTCATAGTCACTCTCATCACTGGCAATCTAAGATATTTAAAACATACAACATATTTATTTTGCCTTTATCTTTGCGTATTTAATTTAATACCTCTAAATGTTCATCAGGGATATGCCTTGTGTGTGATTCAAGTGAAAGGTTTTCATTATCATCGTCATCATTGTCATCATCTGATATGTTGAATTCTAGAAGATTATTATCGTTCTGCTTCAAATATGAATAAAACTCCGGATCTGTATGTTTCAATTTCATTAAAGATTTTTTATGTTCTACTGGGTCCATGTCGCTCTCACTGCTTCTAGCATCATCATCATCCATATTTTCATCTATCATAAAATATTGTACAAATCAGTTAAAGCAGTGATCACAGGTGATGTCCAAAGATAAATATCTACTTTGAACAATACTTCATACTTCATAATTTATATGTAAATTCTGTACTTATCCATAATGTGTATTTACCTTGACCATTGTTAATTGCTTCATCTTCAAAACTTTGATTAAAGAATTCATCTGTAGTTATAGTACTTAGTTGTTTCTTTTTTGTCTTAATAGGCTTTTTTGACTTCTTCGTCGTACTTTTCACTTTCTTTATTTTCATGATTTAACTAAAAATATTTTCAAGATTTAACAACTTAGTACAGCTTTATACAACATTACAGGCTTGCACGTGTTTAGCCTTAACCTGAAGAAGCTGAAGAACACAAATGTTTGTCGGTAAGAACGAAATCTTCAACTATCATGAAAGCAGTTTCATTCGGTCTTTCCTTATAATTTTTATTTTATATTACAAAAACGAGTATATTGCATAGAGTCTAATTTACAAAGTCATGTCTCAAGACTTGTAGAAAGTATATCAGAGAGAGAATAACATCAGACCGAAGATCATTCCTTTAGATCATTCGAATGATCCGTCACGACCATTATTCTACATTTTCGGGGACAGCTGTATTGCAGCACCTTGTCCCCGAAATTTTTTTAAGAAATACGGGACATATAAATGTTCCGTATTTATTTTTCAGTCCCGTATTTCCATGTTATACCTATAAATTATATAATAATGAACTTCCT